ACCAACAAATAAAACTCAGGCAGCTGGGGTGGCTGAAGCCCCAGCTTTGCCTGGAGCCAGCCAGGATTTGTCCTTGGAGAGGTATTCAGGCAAACCAGGAGCTGAGGCAGCGCAGGGTTCAAGTTGATTTGCTCGTGTTCAACGCTGTAGAAGTGAATTTTCCCTCTGTTTAGCCTGGGAGATCATAGACACCAAGTAATTACTCTGCCTCTCTTCAAAGAAACATGAAGTTCTCATCAAGATTTGGTTCAATATTATTTTAAACCATTGTAGACTTTTCCAGTTTCCTGGGGAAAACTGTTCCTTTTGGCTATCTGATATTGTTTCTCTTTGGAACATATTTAGAGTGGAAAGAGCAGCTTTTTCTTTACCTGTTACAAGTTGTGGCTTAAAAATGCTCCTTCTATGCCCATTTTTCAATCCAGAACATGTTTTATTGCAACTTAAATGTTGCTCTGCAGAATAAATATTTGGGATTCTTACCCCCTTTGCTCCTTACTATAAAATGGACACTTCTGGAGGTAAATTGGATAGGAAAAGAGGAAGGTGATTGGAAAAGCAGTGCTGCAGGATGGATGTAATTAAGTGTTCTTTGTCTCCTGCATGCAGGACGAGTCATGGCTTAGGCTGCTTGATGGTGGCCCTTGGAAGGGAATCTCCATCATGGAGGACTTGGAAAGCCAAGCAAACCCCTGAAAAATTAGAGGGAACTTATTTCCTATAATTTGCTTAAAAACAGACTCTGGGGCAGTCTTCGTCAGTCTGCATCTTCAGGTTGAGATCTGACTCTGAAGTCTGGCTAAGAGAGGATGAAGAAGGGGAAAACAAACCCCCTTGGGCAGCGTGGTTGGATGGGTGAGGAAGATGATGGTCCAAAGTTTAGTCCCTCAGCAAGGGACAGCTGAGTGAGGGAGCAGAGCCTGCATATGCCAATGGCTTGGCCAAACCCCCTTCCCAAGGAGCTGGTTCACAGGTGTAAAACCAGCCATTCCAAGGTTTTCTAGGGTTCACAGCTTCGTCAGCTGCTTAAATAGCTTTTGAAGAGTGAAAATCAAACAGTTGCTGCCTCTCCAGAGCAGGGGACATTGAGGCCTCTCCAGATAAGCCCTTGAGGCTTCTCTTCCATCTGCCTGGAACAGAAGAGGCTTTTGAAGGGGTGAAATTCCCTTGAAGGACAGAGGTGTTTATAGCTACAGTCAACCTTCCTCCAGGAAAACTCTTTATTCCAGAAGTCTGAATTGTAGCCACAGCTGTCTTTCTCCTCAGAAAATCAGGAGCCTGTGGGCTATGGGATGACTTCCCTTCCAGAGTTTGCCTGTCCAAGAGTTTGTCTTCCTGAGGTCCCCCATCAGCTCTGCATCTTTCCTTTTCCAGTGGAAAAAGGCTCCTTGTGCCCCCTATTTGACTGATTCCTTGCAGGAATGAGCCAAGGTACGTAGCTCAGGTTATATTAAAAGGAAAAAAAGCTGTTTTCCGAGAAAACTAGGAGAGGAACCAGTCATCTTCCTCTCCCTCCTGAAGTCAGGCAAGGCTTCAGGCATACAGAGTTTCTGAGAGCTGGCAGGAGAGGGAGGCTTGGAAGTACAGTAAAATGAGTTTGCCATCAAAAGGCAACAAGTCTTATGCTGTGCCCCCGGCTGCTGACCTTTCCCTCTGGAATTCTCCCCTCTGACCTCGGGATCATTAATCCTGATGCTGCCAGATGACAGTAATCCATCATGGCCCCTGACAAGCCTTGCAGCCGCCTGTGAAAGGATCCGCTCGGCTTCAGCATCCAATCGTCCCATGATACTCGTTTTTCAGCCTTTCCTGTTGGAGCAGTGGGGGTTTCCAATAAAGACTTTATCGCCTCGGCTTTCCTCAGAGAGGGCTGGGGGAGGAGAGATCCGAGGAAACACTCAGCCACGGCCTCCTGCTCTGGAAAACACAGAGAATTTACCAGATCCAAACCCAAAATCGTTCTCTGCCCGATCTGGGCCTTGTTACTTGGAACAGCGCTACAGGAAAGGATGGAAAGGAAATTATTCCATCTACGTGCTCAAGTGGAAGAAGCAAGGTTGTAGCAAAAGGTTCTGCACGTGACTGTGAGGGGGGGGATGGAGATGTGTGGGGAAGAGATGCTCTCTAGTATCATTTATCCCTTTATTTTGCTGTTCCCAAGCAATACAGAACAACACATCCTGAGGAAGAAGGGAGCTGAACCCCAACATAGAATATCTGGAGCTGCCTGGCTGCTCAGCACCTTACTGAGCACAACCAATACAGATTTTTATCTGAGATTGCCCTGAGCTCATAAAACTGATTCCTCTGTGCCTCAGCCCCAGGATTGAATAGTCCCAACTTCCCCTCTTTCTGTTTTAGAAGTTGCTTGTTGCTGGGGAAGAAGGATGGAAGTAGTTTTGTCCCTGCTGTAGTTTCTCCTCTGTGTAAGGAAATGTTATGGGGGGAAAAACAAACTAGAGGTTTTCTTAGTTGATAAATTTATATGCTGTGTATAAACATATTTAGCTTAATCTATAAATCTGTATTTCTATATAAATATCTGTTAGGGGAGTTTATATTTAGTTTACAAATGAAATTTCAGGACACTTGGGCCTTGTTCAAAAGCAAACCTGAGGAAGGGAAGGTGCCCAAGGGCTGGTGAGGTGGGGAGGTCAGATCTCAGTGCTGTTCCTGCTCCACCTGGAGCAGGCTCCTTGGAAATGTTTAAACCTTTATTTCCCGCTGATGTAGATGATGTTTGTGCCTTTCACTGGAGCATTTGGATAAATACACTTTGTGTGTTTTTCCAACTGCTGAGCTGAGGGAGTCTGGAGAAGAGTAAAGGTGTGTTTGGGATAAATGCAGTGTATTAAAAAGTGGATATTTCTTAATACTTCTGTATTAGCAGCTTGTTCGCCTGAGGAGCTTTATCCATGACCTTCCCTTTCACTCTCCATCTGGTCAGTGTCCAAGGAGAGCTGGATGAAAGTCCCCTCTATACAAGTTAATGCTATTCCCTAAATTGGATTGGGGAAAAGTGGGTGGCTTTGAGGGTGGCACCAGGTTGCTGGAGGAGTAGGGGGGAAAGGGGCTTGATGCTGCCCCAGGGGAGTAAAGGCTTTGCAGCTTTAATTAATTAACGAAGGGGCATTTTGGGGGTGTGAAAGCCAGCCCTGGCTCTTCCTGGAGACCTCGGAGGGAACTATTTCCCTGTTTTCCCTTTGGGTGTGACTGCGGTTGCTGGGGCTCAGCTGATGAATGATAACTTGGGGCCGGTAACGTGATCGTTCCCAGCGCTCCGCGGGTCCTCCGGGGCTGTCCCTGGGCTCTTCATCTGCAGGAACAACTCCGAGACAAAATGGAGGCTCCGCAGAAAACGGAGCAAACTGAGGCTTTTGGGGGTGGCCAGCTGGGAGGGATGGAGCCACGGAGCGTTCAGAGGGTTTGGAAGCACCTCCACCTCTATTTCTCCAGGGAGCGGTCACCTCTGAAATGCTGGAGGAGGATCTGCTGCAGCTTGTGGAATTACTGCTGTGGGCAGGGAAGGGGTTGTTTGGACAAGGCAAGAAGAGGATGTGATAGATATAAAATGATATGAATCTGGTCAGGTGCTCCTGATGTTTGCTTGCGCTTTAAGAGTTGTAACTTAGCAGGATTTTCAGCCCTTTAAAGTGAAAAAATTTACTTTTTTATCCCCTGTCTCATTAACGTGTGGGAATTGGCACCATGAGCTAATGCCTAAAAGGCTTCCAAAAGAAAAGAGAGGGGAAAAAAATCCCACTTGGATGTATAATGAGGACATCTGCAGAGCTGAGCTCCTTTTCACTGAACAGAATAAAACCCATTTATAAGGGCCATAAACTCCTCTGCTCCGGGGCATTAAGCGAATCGCTGGCTGAGGAGCAGTGGCACAAGCCTCCCCTGTGGATTGGGTATTCCATGATTGTCCATTACAGCCCTTCCCAGGCTTTCCTGTGAAGGCTGGTGCTGACCATTGTGGGAGACAGGATACTGACCTCAGATGGATGGCTCTTTGATCCGGGACAGTATTTCCTAGGCAAAATAAAAGGGTTGCTGCATCAGCTTTTTTTTCCCCCCTTTCTTCCTCTCCATGCCTAAATCTCATTAATTTGACTTTTAGCACTTCGAGGAGCTTCTAAAGGGGCACTAACAGGTTAAAAATCAGATTTTCTTTTCTGTTAATCCAAAAGATGACAAAACTGAGCAGGAAGGATAGAGCTGGTTCCCTGTCCTGCCCTCAGAAGGACAGAACAAGACCTTGGTTTGGGCTCCAAAAGGGACTGGGATGCTTGGTGCTCCTCACAGCTGCTATGTGGCCTCATCAGGGGGTTATTTGGGAGCATGTTGAGGGAAAAGGAGAGTAGGAGGATATAAACACTGTGTGAGCAGCGGAAAGAGCAGCCCTTTATTTACCTGTCAAGGTTGTAGCAAAAGGTTCTGCACGTGACTGGGGGGGGGTGGGGTGGAGATGTGTGGGGAAGAGATGCTCTCTAGTATCATTTATCCCTTTATTTTGCTGTTCCCAAGCAATACAGAACAACACATCCTGGGGAATAAGGGAACTGAACCTCAACATAGAGTATCTGGAGCTGCCTGGCTGCTCAGCACCTTACTGAGCACAACCAATACAGATTTTTACCTGAGAGCTCATAAAACTGATTCCTGAGCTCATAAAACTGATTCCTCTGTGCCTCAGCCCCAGGATTGAATAGTCCCAACTTCCCCTCTTTCTGTTTTAGAAGCTGCTCGTTGCTGTGGGTTGTTATTGGTCTGATAATTGCTTTTGCCCACAGGAAAGGATCTTTCATGGAAAGGATGTGCCATGTAGCTGCACTTCTCTGCCTCATTTACTCGCTCATGCAGAGGCCTCAAGCCAGGCTGCAAACAGAGCTCCTGGATTTCCTATTGGAAGGAAGATCAATAGCCCCAGCCTGCCAGTTTTCTTGTCCTCCTTTTCTCCCTGACTCCATGCTCCTTTCCCTGCTGTTTCCCTGCAGGAACTCCCATCAATCGGATCCCCATCATGGCAAAGCAGATCCTGGACCTCTACATGCTCTACAAGCTGGTGACCGAAAAGGGAGGGCTGGTGGAAATCATCAACAAGAAGATCTGGCGGGAGATCACCAAAGGCCTTAATCTGCCCACCTCCATCACCAGTGCCGCGTTCACCCTGCGGACACAGTAAGTCAGGAGGGCTGACAGCAGGGATGGCCTGGGCAGGACCGGGAGCTGGGCTCCTGGACCTGGATCCAATCCCTTGCACTGCCCTCTTTTTTGCCTCTTCAGAGTTTAAACTCCTCAGGGCATGGAGGGTCTTGTCTGTCTCTGAAGAGCACTTGGCACAGGGAGGAAGGAGAGAGGGAGACAGACCTCCTGATTTTGGGCATCAAGTATGAGCCTGATCATTTCATGTGTGTTAGCACTGGAAACTTGGAATTTAGCAGCTCCTCACTGTGAAGAGATTGCTTTTCTGAGCTGCAGTACTCTATTGGGGAAGAAAGAAAGGAAGAAAAAGTGGAATAAGCATCAGAAAATAACCATGAAAATAAAATGCCTGAAAAATTATGCAACAGGGCAAAGCTGTGCTTTAGCTGTGAAAGGCTGGACTCTGGGAATCTGCTCTGAGCTCTTATGGGTTTTTTGGGAGTTATTAGAAACCCCTGAGTCCCAGAGAGGGAAGCTTCTTGCCATTTCCTCAGCCTTTGATAGAGCAGGCTGTTCCTGCAAACCTGCGTGCTAAAGTGATAAGGTTTGGTGCTGCCCAGTACAAATGAAGGGCAATTCCTCAGACTTCCTTCCTTGAATTACGTGTTGTGGTCTGAGACCTTCGTTCTTAGAATTTTAGATTCTCGACTGTAAAGGACTTGTGGATGATTCTTAGATGGTATTTTAGCTGTAAAGAAGTCCTGGATGATTCTTTTCTGCCCTTGTGGGTGTAGTAATATATATTAATGTGTTTTCCTACAAACATTGAGTGAATTCAGGGTTTTAGCTTTGCCCAATGCTTATCACAGCAGAGGCTCCGGATCCACCAAGAACCTCAGGCTGAGAGTCTTCCAGCCCCCAGTGCTTGTTTCCATAGCCTGTAATTCCATGTTCTGCTGAGCAACTGCTGGAGTTTCCCTGTGCTTCCCTCTCCCCAGGTACATGAAGTACCTCTATGCCTATGAGTGTGAGAAGAAGTCCCTGAGCTCCCCGGCTGAGCTCCAGGCTGCCATCGACGGGAACCGGCGGGAGGGCCGGCGGCCCAGCTACAGCTCCTCCTTGTTCAGCTACTCGCCCACCACCTCAGGGCCTCCCTCCCTCCTGTCTCCCCCCAAAATCCGCTTCCCCATCATCGGCGTGGCACCAGGCAGCGGGACCAGCAACCCTCGGGTGTCTCCAGCAGCAGCCATCAGAAAAGGTCAGCCACTTCTGCTTCCAGTTGGAGGCACTGAAACACAGTTATCAGGGAATCACAGAATCAGCTGGGTTGGAAAGGACTTCCGAGATCATCAAGTCCAACCCTTGATCCAACCCCACTGTGGTTACCAGACCATGGCACTGATGCCACATCCAGTCTCATCCTAGAAAGCTCCAGGGACGGTGAATCCACCATTTCCCTGGGCAGCCCATTCCAATGGCTGATCACTCTCTCTGTAAAAAATTTCTCCCTAATATCCAACCTAAACCTCCCCTGGCACAGCTTAAGACCGTGCCCTCTTGTCCTACTGCTGGTTCCTGGGAGAGGAGACCAACCCCTGGCTACAACCTCCTGTCAGGGAGTTGCAGAGTGAGGTCTCCCCTGAGCCTCCTCTTCTCCAGGCTGGACAACCCCAGCTCCCTCAGCCTCTCCTCACAGGACTTTGTGCTCCAGTCCCTTCACCAGCCTCGTTGCTCTTCTCTGGACCTGCTCCAGCACCTCAATATCCTTCCTGAACTGAGGGTTTTCCATTTTACCCATTCAGACTGCTTTGAATTTGAGATTAGTGGGCTTTGGGTGGCTCGAAATGGCCTGTGGTTTAAACCCTTGCATGAGGGACTAAGTGACTCTCTCCTCCTTTTCCAGGTGACGGAGTGCCCTTGACTGTGTCTATGCCAAATCGTATTGCTGTGCCAGTGACCTTGAGTAGCCAGCAGGCAACTGTGGCAGCAAGAACAGCCACCCTGGAGCAGCTGAGGGAGAGGCTGGAGTCGGGAGAGCCTCCAGAGAAGAAGGTCTCACGGACGACCGAGGAGGAGCAGCGGCTTGTCCAGCAGGCTCTGCAGCGCAACCTGTTCAGCATGGCACGGCAGATCCCCATGAAGATCAAAATCAATGGCAAGGGTGAGCAGCAGAGGCAAAACACAGACAAAAAGCCCTTGGAAACTGGAGCAGGGAGGGAAACGCTTCCAGTCTGGAATGTCAAACACACAGGCTGGGTTATCTCTCAGGGTCCCAGGCAGAGGGCGCGTCAAGAAGGTGTTAAAGTGGAGCACAACAACTGCAAAGCTGAAGTGTGGCAATGTTTTGTTGAGCTTTACTGCTGGTTGTATTATCCAGCCTCATCTGAATCCAGCCTGGATTCAGAAGGACCTTTGCCATGTTCACAAAGCTCCGCATCCAAGCTGATCAAACCCACCTGACCCACCCAACGAGACCCTTTCTCCAAGCTGGTGACCTCCCGTGTCCAGCACGGCGAGGCTGCTGCAGGGCTCAAGCTCTTCCACCTCCACAGAACTTCCACCCTGTTAATTGACCGTGGAAGTAACAGCTTGGTACAGGTCTCCAGCTGGAGGAGACTGGGAGAGAGATGCCCAGCTTTTAGGAATCCTTTCCCAGGTGGGGTGAGGAGGCCATACAGACCTGTGTGTCTGTGCGGGGCCCTGTGCATCCCAGGGCTTTTAGCAAGGCAGGTGATTTCTGCCCACATCTGCACAGCCTCAGGGCAAAGAACTGCTGGCAAGGCTGGGTTAGGAGGTCACATCCAAGCAGCATTCATGGCCTGGGAAGTGCTCTCCTGAAATGCTTTGGAAAAGGGGACTCACCCTGGAAAGGTCGCTCATTGCAATCAGTACTGTGATAGAATGGCTTCAAAAGTTGATTAATGCCCTGACTCCCTTACCTGTCCTGGGGCTGCACCTCACCAGGCAGGCAAAGCCTCTGTCCCAGCAGCTGCTTCTTCCAAACCTTTTGATCCTTTAAAATTAAAGGCCTCAGCTCCCTACTAATTGTATATTTGGAAGGAGGCACAAGGCCAGGCCAGTTTGGCAAGGCTTAGAAGGGAAGAGGTGTTCTTGTTCTAGCAGTGCTGGTCAGTGCTTTTTTGGGATGCTTTGCTAGAAATATAGATAGAAAAGGGTCAAAGTAGATTCCTCTGAAGCAGCAGCAGCTGAGATTGGGACTTCACAGTTCCTGTCAGCTGTGCATCCACCTAAATTTCACATCACAACTAAAATAGTGAGTAAAAGGGAATACAAATTTTATCAAGTAATGTTCAGTCCCTCTAATCTCACTTCACTTTCACCCTGAACTTCCTAAATCAAAACAGAGGGAACAATTTTAGTCCTTACAAATAGTAACAGGCTGAGCCCTGAGGATTCAGGGATAGTATTCCCACCTTTGTGAGCTGACTGCGGGCAAGGCTGTCCTGTCTTTCGTGCCCTAATTTTCCCAAGTGCACAATCAAAATCATAATGTGCTTTGAGAGGTGCTTTTGATAAGCACAGCATGAGCTTATCACAGCTTGATAACAACATTTAAATTAAACCTTAAGAATGAGGAGTTTTTAGGGGGGAGTGGCCTTGCTCTCCTCAGTGGAGGAGCAATCCTGTAATCCAGGCTCACTGGTTATGAAGTGCTTAGGTTGGAGGTTCAGAAGGTTCTGGAAGAGTTTGACATTCAGCTCCCCTCAAACATCACTGCAAACTCAACCCCTGCTCTGCATTGATACTTCCAGAGCTGCCCATCACCCTCCAGGCTGAGGATATAGGAAAAGGTCCCCAGATTTCAGGCCGAGTGCACTGTTTCCTGGGTTTTCCCCTCCCTCCAGTGGCCGCTGGAGCTGCTGCAGTCCAAGCACACCAAGTCACAGCAGCTCCCTGAGGAGTTGAGAACTAGGCCTGTGCTCCCAACAACGGCCACAGTCCAGCTGATTTAAGTATGGTCTTGTCTCATGTGCTCCCAGCTCTTTCCTGGGAGGGGAACATCAATTTGGCCTTCAGGGAAAGATTTCCAAATACCCGTGAGCTCCCAGCCTCCCCCCAGCTCACACCAAAGCACTTACACACTTCCATAGAATCCCAGGGTGGTTTGGGTTGGAAGGGACATTGAAGCTTATCTAATTCTGCCCCCTGCCATGGGCAGGGACACTTTCCACTAGCCCAGGTTGCTCCAGGCCCTGTCCAACCTGGCCTTGGGCACTTCCAGGGATGGGGCAGCCACAGCTTCTCTGGGCAATAAAAATAATAGAACGTGGACATCACGTGGGGACTTCCTCTCCAAAGAGGACAAAAGGAGGGCTGTGGTCACTTCTGGGGAGCACAGGGAACAAGATAGTCACTCTCTAACTCTGCATCTCTTCTTTCCTGGAAGAAGACAAGCCCGACTCGACAGCAGCACTGAACTTGTCACCCAACGGCATCGGGAGCATTAACATGTCTGTGGAGATCAACGGCACCACTTATGCTGGTGAGAAACCCCTCCTGGGAAAGGGGAGAGCCAAGCTGGGGGAGCAGAGTGGGAAGTGGAGGGGTGATGTGTTCCCGGGGGCTGGGCTTTGCCAAACTGGGATCTGTCTGGATCGGAAGGTGCAGGAGGAGGTGATTTCTCTTCTCTGTTTTGGGCCTGGCCAGGATGAACACCCTTGCCTTGGTGTTAATATTTTTAAAATGTAAAGGGAGGGTTTTCTATGAAAGTGTTAATAGGAAAGCACCTCTTCTCCTGAGGAGGTGCTTTACTCAGCATTTCCTCACACATATCTGGCAAGCAGGAATTGTCCCCTGTACTCTGCTCGAGCAGTTTTGCTTCTGCAGGTCACACCTGCACATCCTTGGGCAAATCCCAAGTGGGAGACCTGGCTCTGCCATGCAATGGAAGTTGCTTCTCTCCTCCAAAGGTGTATAAGCTGTTTGGGATCTGTTTTCTGTAAGGACAACATCCCTGTGACAGGCTGCCAGACCAAGGAATCCCTTCCCTGATTAGCATGGAATTCTGGTCTGGCTCTGAGCCTTCTTGTCGTGCCCTGAGCCTCTCTCTCTTGGGATGGGGTCTTTGGGACTGGATAGCTTTCCCTTTGCTCTGTGTCCTGCCCTTCCCACTCCATCACCCTCCTCTCTGCCTCCCAGGAGTGCTCTTTGCCCAGAAACCCGTCGTCCACCTCCTCGCCGGCTCCAGCACCCACAGCTCCTGCAGCAGCAGCAGCAGCTCCCACTGCTCTCCCAGCCCTACCTCATCCCGAGGAACGCCCAGCACGGAGCCCTCCACCAGCTGGTCTCTCTGATGGGCGGCCCATTCCCTGTCTCACACTGGCCTCTGGCTCCCGGAGCGAGCCGGGAGGGAGTCGCACAGATACCTCATCTCAAGGAACCTGCTTTTGTGGTTGGCCAGCGGCAAGATGATGATGATGATGATGATGATGATGATACCTTTCCATGCCAGCGAGTTTTTCTTCATCATCTCTTTGTCCAGCCTTTTTTCTTTGTTCTCCCCCTTTCTTCCTCCCTTTTGCTCTTTGTTTTCTTCCTCCTCCTCCTCCTCCTCCTCCCAGGGTTTGCTGTGTTCCTGTCGGGGGTGGGACATGGAGGGGGGGCACGCCTGGCGTTTTTCAATCAGGGATGGGCTCTAGGAGCTGCGGGTTGAGACATGGCTGAGACGTCACCAAGGCAGGTTGAAAGAGCTGGAGTTGGGGCAGGGAAACTTGGTTCTCCTTGAGCCAGGAACCACAAGGACTCTTCCCACCAACCAACTCCGTGTTTTGACAATCCTAAGAGCCGGCGGGGTGCCTTGCCCTGTCCTCCCTTGTGCTGCAGAACAGGCAAACTGCTTGTTTCCTTCCTGCTGTTTCCATATGTCCTCACAGGAGGCTCGTGAGCCTCCTTCCCCCTCTCCACGGTTTTGACATGAGGGGAAGGAGTTCCTCCCTCCCTGCCACATTCAAACCCTCTCCATCAGCTGCTTGGTTCTTGCCGGTGCTGCCTGATCCCTCCTGTTGCCTTCAGGCTTTCAGAAGTTTTAAATGCCCTTGACCTTGCCTGTCTCTCATGAGGAATTCATCCCACTGACCTTTACCCTGACAGCCTGAGCTTGTTGTGGCTCCTCTGATCCTCTGCCCCCGTGACACTGTCACTTGGGTCGATCCAGGCTTTCCTGAGATCAGCCATCTCACTTCTGCCTCCTGAGGTGGCTCCTGGTACCCCTGGAAGCTGCCCACGTCTGTGTGCTGAAGAAATAGGAGGTTATCTCTGCAATCCATCTCGTGGGGGCCACATTGTGTGCGTGGGTGTTGTGGTTAATGTTATACACGTGGGGTTTTGTCTCTGAACAAACCCAGCTGCCCACACCCCTTCAAACTGCACCTGAGCAGCGAAGACCTTTTGCTCTCCGGGGGAAAGTGGAGAACAGGAAATCAAGCCCTTCCTTGCCCTTTCTCCTCAGACCTCCAGTTGGAAGCAGAGCTGGCCCTGACTCCATAAATCAGCTCCTGCTCAGGTGGCCTCGTGCTGTCCCCCTCTCCTTCTGGCCTTTCCTCAGCCCAGAGAGATGATCCAAACTCCATCCCTCCTGCCCTGGTGACGTCCTTCCCATGCTTCAGGCCCAAGTCAGGTTTTTTGAGCAGATGAAATACCTCAGATATGTACTTGTTGTTGGGTTGGTTTTGTTGGTTTTGGGTTGTTTTTTTAACCTCTTCAGGAAGTATTGGCATATCTTATCGCTTGGTTTTTTAATATGTGGGTTTGCTGACATTGTGTTTGTTTGGTTGTTTGTTTTTTTTGTTTTTTTTTATTTTTAAATGTATCACCAAAGACAGAAAGTTAAAACAAGGCTGAGCAAAGCAGCAGTGGTTTCCTCATCCTTTAGGCCAGCAGGAGCCAAGCTCCAGCATCATCCCAGGACATGTGCATGACAGGGGGACAGGTAGAGGCAGGAAAAGAGGGCAGGAGTGATGCTCACTTAGATTTGTTCTTCATCTTGGACACGTGGATGTCTCCAAAGTCCATCTGATTTTTCCAAGCCCCGGGATCTGTGCCTGTGTTGGTTATCCTGCTACCTGACATCCCGAGGACTGTTTGGGAGCCAGAGGGTGGGAATGCACATGTCCTCAGATGGATGCTGCTCTGAGATGTCCCATCCAGCTGCTTTTAGTTGGAGTAGTGCCCACCCTCTGGGCATGGGGAAGCTGGGCTGATCCCGCAGGCCTCCACGGCATTTCATCCTCACAGACTCCCAGAGGTTTTTCCAGACTCTGGGGCTCAATGAGATTATTTTCTTTTTCCCTTTTTTTTGTTTTCTTTTGATTGTTGTTGGTTTGTTTTTTTTTATTATTTTATTTTATTTGGGGATGGGGATGGGGCTGTTTCCTCTGAGTGGGACTGGGGCACTTTTTGCTTTTCCTTCTGCTTTGCTCTCTGGCTCTGGGGAGCAGAGGTTGGTCCGGGGTGGATTCTGTCTCACACGCTAACGTTGTGTTTTCTTGCACAGAAAGGCACTCGAATCACTGAACTGCTTTGACACTACTAGAGTATTAATGTTTATAAGCTTTACTCAACCTAGACTGGAACTAGCCAGGACTAACAGATTGTTTTGTATCCAATTCAGGGAAAGAATCAGGTTGGGATGCGTAACAGATACCTCAGTTAAATAAGCTGCAACAATAAACTGGTCCTTTCTCAGTCCAGTGTGACAAGGACCATTCAGACTGTGAAGAGTTAACCCTTTCCTCTAAGCCTGGCTTTGATCCTGGCAATCTGAGCTCCAGATCTCCTACTGAGCTGCCAGGCTTTGGGGACAGGGTTATGGAAACCAGCAGCAGAGCCGGGGAAGGCTGAGCGAGGGTGGTGGATCCCCCCCTCTGCTCCATTTCATCGATTGTGTAGTACTCAGGGTTTGATACTGCGAGTAGGACTGTTCCTGTGTGAAGTGCTCCGCTTTGCAGTGTTGCTCCATCCTCTCCCAACTCCACACCAGCCAAGGTTTTGCAGCGAGCAGCCAAAAAGAAAACAGCCCCCAGCTTGCTCCAGTGCAGCCACCATGCTCCTGTTTCCAGGGGGAGATTTGCCAGCTGGGAAAACCAAACCAAACCTGCTTCAGGCAGCTCCCAGTTGATGCTGGGAAGGCACAAAAATTGGGACAAGGGGGAGAGGCTGTGTGTGCCTGCTCGGCTCCCAAAGTGAATGTGAACGTGTCACACCAAGTCCTTTTGGCCACTGCACGTGCATGTGTGTATGTGTGTGTGTGTGTGTGCTCCAAAGGGATTGGGATCAGATGTTCTCTCCAAACAGCTGCAGCAGCCTTGCTACTAGTTTTCTTACCTATTTAAAAAAAAAAATAATAAAATAAGTAAATAAAAACAAATGTGATAGCCTAGGCGGTGGATAAATACCTCAACGTCTCCTTCCAACAAGTGTCTGTATATGTTGTTGTTGGGTTTTTTCTATCTTACAGGTTATCTGAATGTTTATATTCCAATAAACTTCTACCTCTTCACACCGTGACCCCCAAGCCTGTTCTATGCCCCCGGCTGTCTCCCTGAATTTAAAGATTTCCCTTTTTTCGTCCCGGGAAATTATTCCTAGAGGCTGGGTCAGCCTAGCTGAGGTCTGGATCCTTGCATGGCTTTGGGCTCCCAGTTTGGAGCTGGGCTGGTGGGATGTTTTTAGGGATGGTGCCTAGGAATGAACTGGGTCCCTGTGGGCTGGAATGATGGACCTTCCAGGTTGGATACTGACAGAAACCATATGGGATCTCCTTTCCCAGGTGCTGCTGAAGCTGCTGTACCTGTCCCATGTCCCTTACCCAGGCTGGGGCAGGAGCCTGTCTCCCAAATCCCTCTCCTGTCATCACCACCTCCCCACAAAAAGGACATTTAATACTTCCCACTAGTTTTGCTGTTTGCACAGCACCTGGATGCTGTTTTTCCAGTCATTGAACCAGTTTGGCAGCGGGAGAGGAACTGGTTTCCAGTCCCTTTTGTATCAGCCTTTCCAATGCCCCATATCTGCAGCTGTTTTGACTGGGGGCCTGTTTGTGTCCGCTGGGTCCTGGGAAGGGGATGGAGCCCACGACCTTTCCCATCCTCCCACTGAACTCACTTAATGGAACTGGGAACCTCTCCCGTCCTGCCTGCCCCCTCCATCAGCACCTGGCTGCAGGTGAGCCCCCCCACAGCAGTAAGAGCGGGCCGGCCTCACCTGGGCTCTGGTCCCAGCCTATCCAAGCAGCAGGCAGGTGAAGGCAGAGCCTTTCCCCCCACCTTCCCTCCCCTCCTGCCTACCACTGGGTTTGGCTTTTCCCAGCTTTCCCTGCGTGAATGCGGCCGAGACAGCTCAAGGACTCACCTGCCCTCACCTCTCTCCTTACAAGCCCGATGCCTGAGGCAGGTAAGGTGGGGTCTGGCAGTGGGGGGTGTAAAACTACCCTCGGTGTGTTGTTGCCATGGGGTTTAGCCACCTGCAGCCTTAGGGTCGGAGGAGGGAAGGTGCTGGGCTGGAGAGAGATCTTCCCTGGATCTAGGGGTGCTCAGACACCGGGTCTCAGGTGACAAGGGGACTCTCTGGTGGCCACCACAATCCAGGACAGCCCTGCAGCCCAGGGACAGCCCTGGAGCTTGGTGCAGCATGTCCATGCACAGGATCCTTCAGCTCAGCTGCCCCAGCTCCCCAAAGTGGGCACCCCAAGGGGTCCGATGCACCTTCCCGTTCCCCCCAGCCCTGCAGACCCACGTGTGTCCGTACACCCGGGGTGGGCACACTCCGGCCCTCCCAACTCGCAGTCCTGGGGCTGGACAACCACAAGCATTGGCAGGCGTTGTTTGGACTGGAATATAATCCTTCGGGCAAGTTTACATCCAGCCCCCTTCCCTCCATCCCTCCCTAAATGCCGCCATTCAGCACTCATCCCAGCCACAACCTGGCTTCCTGAACAAACAACAAAGGGCTGAGGAGAGCCCAGCTCGGATTAAGGCACCTGGGGAGTGAAACCCAGCCCAGTGGGGTGAGACAATGCCTGCTTTTCTCCTTCAAACGCCCCCATCCCTTTATGGAACCCGACTCAGGCACCGGCACAGTTTTGTCCAGGTCCTGCTCTCCTTAATCCCTCCCTCCAGGGCTGGAGGCAAAGCCATGTCTGGGCACAGGGAGGTTTTTTCCCAGGACAACCACGCAAATGCCACCTCTGAAACGCATGTTTCGTAAGGAACTTTAGCCCTGATGTCCAGGAGTTTGGTTCCCTGCTCCCTAAATGCCCAGTGTGCAGGGATGCCACCCTGCCAGGGAGGCCACAAACCCCACAGGTATCCCTGCTGGGAGGGATAAAGCCCAGCTCACCACCCGCAGAATCTCAGTCCTCTGGGCACAGCTGGGGGAGGAGGTTCCCCTCTTTCAGGGCCAGGCTTGGGTGTCTCACACCTCAGGGCCCACTGCTACTTTGAATCCAGCCCGGACACCCCAAATCCTCCCTTGCAGGTGCCTCTGCTCCCCTTCATGCCCTTTGTGTCCCCCACCAAGCGTGGTGCTAATCATTCCCAAACTGCGTCAGCCTGGCAGCAGGGCTGATAATTCCAGTATTTTCCATGGTCCTTATCATTCCCAGGGCGAGGCTGGGTTTGTTTTAGCCTCAGGCTGGTGTCAGGCTGCCCAAGCACGGTGCTGGCCCCACCAGCTCCTCTCCCACCTTCTGGCTTTGGGATGCTCCAGCTCAATCCCAGTTTACAAAGAGGGGAGGTGAGTCCCAGGGGATGTGAACTCCCAGCTGTGGTTCCTTCCAGTGCTCCAGCACCCACGTTGGCGCAGCCTTGGTGAGATCCATCCTTCTAATGGTGCCCTCTCTCTCTCCAGTGCATCTGCAGATCTTCCTCGGTGCAGGCCTGTCCCTCCTCTGCCTCAGCATCCTCCTGGGCTGTGCCATGTGCTGGTGGCACCGCCGGCGCCCAAGTCCCCACCCCAGCCGGGAGTGGGCAGCCATGGAGCTGGGACCTGCTCTGCCTGCCAGGACTGTGCCAGTGCCCATCCAGCAACAGTATGAGGAGATGGCAGGAGAGGTGGTGGGTGCTCGGGCAAAAGAGGGTTCCTTGGCATCACCAGCATCCTATGGGAGTTTGCTCCGTGTCAGAGCATCCTTGCCCACTCTCCCCTTCCTCCCGCAGCTGGCGGGAGCGTGGCAGCGCCGCTGCACCGTCTCTGGAGCCAAACTCCTCCGCAACAAGGAGAGCCCGCTGGTCCACCCCGTCGCAGGATCCCCACTGCCCTCCGAGCAGCGTCCCCGGCTCCACTGCGACTTGTCCTACTCACCACCCGAGGCCATTCTCACCGTGACGATTCTCGGCGTCTCCCACCTGCCCAAGGGGCTGCAGGACGACCGGGGCTCCTACGTCAAGGTGTACCTGGTGCCGCGGCTCCCGGCGTGCCAGCGCGTGGCCGTGCGCCGCCGGAGCCTCCGCCCTGCCCCCCTGGAGCCGTGCCAGTTCGGCCCATACAGCCCAGAGGAGCTGAGCAGCTTCACCCTGCGCTTCGCTGTCTACGCCAGGTCACGCAGCCTCGGGGACTCTTTTGTGGGGGAGGTCCTGTTCCCCTGTGCCCAGGCCTCTTGGGACCCCCAGGCCTCTTCCGGCTACACCTGGGAGCTGGCAAGCACCAAAACCAAGCTCAGGAAGGTCAGGATGGCAGCAGTCTCCAGCAGGGGGTTGTCCTCATGTTTTGGCTGAGGTCTGCTTGGTCTCAGAGCCCCAAAACTCCACGGGAAGAGGCAGAGCCTCCTGAGGCATCACCAGTTATCCCTGTGGTGGGCTCCATTGTGGTACAAGTCCCTGTCAGTGTCTCTGCCGAGGGGCTTTGCACCTCTGATTAAGGGAGTGGTGGGGTGGAAGGGGTAAATGCAGAGCTGGCACCATCCTTGCAGTGATGGTGAGCATCAGATCCTCCTTCTTGACTCATTTTTGCCCCTTCGTAACTCATTTTTGCCCATTCTTGACCTCGATGGGGGACAAGCATCACTGAGTTGGAAGATAAGGCTGGAGAAGGTTTCACGGCGTCTCCTGCTCTCTCCTCCCATTCCAGTGCCTCAGGGCCCACAACAGGAGCTGCAGTGTCCTCTCCTCATCACCCAAATCCCTCGGCCAGCTCTTCCTTCTCCTCCAGTACCAGGCTCTGGCCAGCCGCATCAAGGTGCTGGTCCGCAAGGCACAGGACCTGGGCCGGCTCTCACGCATGCCAGGCACGCCAGGTAGGACACGGGACATGGACCAGGAGGTGAGGAGATGCCCAGGTGGGCACAGGCAGTGACTTCTCCTCTTTTTGCATGACATACTGTCTTATTTCCTCTTGAACTTCTCTTTTCCAAGCACGGCAAAGGGCTGGAATGAAATGATCTTTTAAGGTCTCTTCCAACCCACACCCTTCTGTTATTCCATGAAAATGAGCACAGGAAGTGTAGTTGTTAGGATCTAGATATCCCCAATATGGCCCCAAAATGCTTACAATATATGTATTTATGGTCAAAAATTAGCATGTGGGCTTTCTATCCTGCTGGGTGTTGTCATCTCTGGCTCTCCCCGCCCATCTGGAGCCTGGGATGTGGGCAGGGATGCGAGGTAAGGACTTCAGAGGTCCCTGCTCCAGACCCCAGAGGGGCAGGTGAAACCTCAGGAGCTGTCTGTGCTCTTCCCATGGTTCCACAGAGGTTCTGTAGCCCCCCTGGCACAGCTGGGGAACTTCCAGCCTCCCTCCCTGCCATGTGTCCAGAGCAGGTCCCTCTCTCCATGGCTCTGTCTCCGTTTCCAGGTCACTACATCATCATCCACCTTTACCACAATGGCTGTGTCATTGACACCAAGGAGACCAAGTCCATCAGTGGCTACAACCCTGTGTGGAACAAGCCTTTCCTCTTCAACATCCCTGCTGGGGATATCCAGCAGCAAGAGCTGGCATTGGAGTTCATTGTCATGCAGGTGAGGTGGATGGAGGTGACCATGGCTATGAAGGTGACCTGGATCTCCTGTGCTCCTGCACCTGGGCGGCTCAGCCCCCAGAGGAGCCATTTCTTGATGCCCACAGGAGATTGCTGGGGTGGGATCACTCTTTTTGGGATGATGGAAAGCCACCAGCCATGTCCCATTTCCCCTCTCCTGCCACAGGCTCACCTCCACACCCGTGGCTCTGCGCTGGGCTGTGTGCGGGTGGGGCCACGTGCCCCTGGGACCGGGCTGCTCCACTGGAGGGACATGTGCAGCCAGGGACCACTGGAGTCAGAGCAGTGGCACCAGATCCAGCCCAACACCCCCAGACCCTGATCCTGCCCACAGTCCACAGACAGGGCTTGCCCGGGACTCAGGTGCCCACAGGAGTGAGCCAAATGGGATCTCCGAGCCATGGAGAGGTGAGGTCTCACCCACACATCATTGTGGGATAAGTCTGGGCTCCAACTCCAGGACTGGAGATCAGTGGTGGTCGGCACAACCCCTTCCTGAACGGCTCTGGAGGAGACTGAGCCTGTCTGAGGTGGCTTCAACACTGGGGAGAGAAGAGGAGCCTTTCTCTGTTCTGTCCACCATCACCACCTCGGTGACTACACAGGGAACTTTGGCCGTTGCAGGAGATGGGTGGGAAGATCACCCAGCTGGGAGAGCAGCCCCATGGCCACCACAGTGGTTGCATCTACTGCCCCTTCCAAGCCACCATCGCCAGCCCACCCTTCCCATTCAGCCCCCTGAGCTCGGACACACCTGAGAGAGGAGCCACGAGGACATGCTGATATCACCTGATGAGAAAGATGTCCACTGGCATTTTTAATTAATTGCTGACCCAAACAAGTGGTTGATAAACAAATAAAGGGGTCAGGGATGATTCATGTGTGGAGTCATTGGAATTCTGTCCTACTCATGGGCCAGCAGTGTCCATGGTCCACCAAGTCCTCTGGAGCGGTGGCCTGGGTGAGAAGGGAGGTCACCTTGAGGGGTGGGAGAGAGCAAATCCCTGCCTGGTGCTAATCAGTGAATTATCAGGACTGAGGCCCCTCTCCAAGTGGGCTAATTGGACACGGAAACTCTTCCACCATGTCCTCACCCCCAGGCTGTGACCCATGGGACAATCCCAGCTCCCAGCCCCGTCTGGTGGAAGGAGTTTGTCTGCAGAGGCCACTGGGGGACGCAGTGCACAGGCCACTGTGATGAAGACCATGAGGAGGGTCACCATGGCAAGGAAGGCCGTGGTGAGGGCTGTCACTGTGGGGATCATTATGGTGAGGAAGGCCCAGTGGTGGGAAGGCCTGCAGTGAGGTAAGCCATGATGAGAAAGGTCATGGTGAGGCAGACCAAGGGAAGAAGACCATGCTGAGGAAGAGGATGGCTGTGGTGAAGGTAGGCTATGGTGAGGAAAGCTGTGGGGAGGCAGACTCTGAGGACAAAGACCCTGGGGAAAAAGTCTGTGTGGAAGATGAGGATGGCCATGGAGAGGAAGGCCATGGTGAAGGTGATATTGGCCCTGATGACCATAGGGAGTCAGACCACAGGGACGAAGCCGTGCTGACAGTGAGGATGGCCACGGTGAGGAAGACCATGGTGAGGAAGGTCATGGCAAGGAAAGCCATGGTGAGGGTGAGGATGGCTGCAATGGGGAAGGCCATGGTGACAGAAGCTGTAGTGAGGATGGCCATGGAGAGGAAGGCCATGGGGAGGATGAGGATGGCCACAGTGGGGTAAACCATGGTGAGTCAGACTACAGGGAGGAAGACCACGGGAAGGAAGCCGTGTTGAGGGTGAGGATGGCTGCACTGAGGAAGGCCATGGTGGGGCATGAGGGGCCAGAGCGTTGCGAAGAGTCGCCCTCCTCCCACCGCTTCCAGTCCCGGTTTAACCCTCGTCCCGTCACTCCGGGGCGTGTTCAAGGCCTGTCCCGCTCCCTCCCGTCCCTCCGGGGCGGGTTCAAGGCTGGTCCCGCCCCGTCCCGTCCCTCCGGGGCGGGTTTAACCCCGGTCCGGGAAGCGGAAGCGGCGGCGCTGCGGGGCTGCAGGAACTGGGCCGGGCCGGGCCGGGCCGCACCCGCCGAGCGCGGCCGGGGTTTGGCGGTGAGACCGCGGGGACACGCGGGGGGAGCGGGGCCGGGGGACACGGCAGGGACACGAGGGGAGGCGGGCGGGGAATGGGCCGTCCCGGGCGGGCCCAGCCGGGTAACGGCCCCGTAACCCCCGCTCCCTGCGGGACCCTCGGCTGCAAAGCGCCCTCCGGCATCGCCAGCCCCGGGCGGGCTCTGCCAGGGCCGGGTGTCCCCCGGGCCGAGCCCGCCTCATGCCGCACCCGTGGGTGAGGGGTTTAAGACCTGGAATCCCCTCGTCCCCGCAGATGCATCACTGCAGGAGGTTCCGGTCCCCGGAGCAGGAGAGCGACCTGGGACACAGGTGGAAGCGGAGGCGGTCCCGGAGCAGGGAATACGAGGGCAGGCTGCGGTACCCTCCCCGCAGGGATCTCTCCCGGCGGTCGCGATCCAGGAGGTAGGAGCGCTTCGGGGCGGGTTGTCCAGTAAACCCTCGTCCTGATCCCGCTGGTGTTGCCGAGCTGGCATTCATCTCCTGACTACAGGTCGGCTTTAAACCTGTAAATCCCAGGGAATGGAAGTGAAGGCTTTACTTGTGTGTGTGTGTGTGTGTGTGCATGCGCATGCACGCGCGTCTTCCCTGCTACGCTAAAGTTCTTCCCAAAGACATGGCTTTAATTTTAGCGAGGGAACAGCGTGCCCTGGAATCACGTTTCCACGCTGTGGAGGCCTTAAAGCCTTTCTCCCAGCAACCCACTTCCTTCCGACAGGATTAAAATCAGATTTCAAGTAAACAACAATTTAAAGTAACAACGCTCCTCCCTCACCTCAGAAGGGATCCCAGCTAAAGGATCCGACCACTAACTGACCTCTTCTGCTTTGGTTCTGGATTTTACCTTTGATCCTGTCTTTGTTCAGCGTTTCCACAGGGACAATTAGGTGCTGGAAGCGGGATAAGGCCTCTGATAAGAGGAGGGTTCTGGAAGAGAGGCAGGAGCCATGTTGCAGTGTGCGACCAGAGTAGGCTGTTAGTACTGGGGCTGCTGTGGTTCCACTGGTTGGACTGGGCAGGTGCAGCCAGGCTGGAGCTGAGCTCATCTTTAAATGTTCCCCACATTAATTCCTCTCCTCAGCCTGCCTTTTGTTTACTTGAGGGAAGCAGATTGTGAAACACAGCTGGCGCACGCAATGGACTTTTCCATTTTTTTCATCCGATGGGTAATTTGGGACAGATTTGCATGGAAATAGGCTTTTGTTGGGTGAAAACAACCTTATCCCTTAGTTTCAGACTCAGCCTCTCAGGTCTCCTCTGATTCTGAGTCTGTCAGATTGTTATTCTGTTTCCTGTGTTTGTCCAAAGTGCACAGTGAAGTTTCACCAATGATGAATTGGTGAATAGATCGAGGTTGCAGCAGAGCCACATGGTTTGTGTTTTGGGTGGTTTAGCAATGACCGAGAGCCACTGCTGCCTTGGCAGAGTCTGAAATTTTACTCTGGAACCATGCTGAGATGAACCCCCCCACTCAAACCTGTGTCCTGTTAAGCTGTCAGTGAGGGGAGCTGATTGTTGACAAGGCAGAGGGGTGCAAATAGCAAAAGTTCCTGTTTCCGGGCTGAAGGTCTTGGTTAGCGAGGCCACTGCTGGGTGACAGCATTGACCTGGCCTGGCACATGCCCAGGATTATTTTGGGAAGCCAGTGCACTACTTTGATTTCAGAATTACATCATCTTCTACCTAAAACACAGCCTCTTTCTCAATGAGGTGTGAAGCAAGACTCACAGTGAGGTCTGGTTTGTTAGACCAGCCGGGGTGGAGAAGGCAGTTGTGCTTTGGGGGGAAGAAGCAGGAAGGGCTGCTCTCATCGTTGGTGTGCCCACATGGTACCCAAAACCTCGTGTGTGATGTCAAAGGTGAGCTTTGTCTGACAACTTCAGGTCCTTCCTGATGCAGAGATGAGTTGTCCAAAAGTTTTCCTTACATGCTGGGAGGTTGTTGTTAGCAGGGCAGGAGCTTGGCTACACTATGGAGAGCAAATTTTCTTCCTGGCTCTTTCTAATGATCTGTGGAGCTGGTGTGTGTGTGCTCACCAAGGACTCGGTGTTTTGGGACCTCCAGCCCCCCCTGGGGTGACAACTAGAGCCCTGCTGCTGGGTTTAGTCCTCATTTATTTAAGAACTAATGAGAGACCTTCCTGAGGGAGGAGGAATGATGACAAACACTTGTGTGTGTTGGCAGAGGTGGCTTAGGTGAGGTGTAATGATAGAATCCCAGAATGGTTTGGGTTGGAGGGACCTTAAAGCTCATCCAGTTCCACCCCCTGCCATGGGCAGGGACACCTTCCACTAGTCCAGGTTGCTCCAAGTTCCATCCAACCTGGCCTTGAACACTTTGAAGGGTGGGAGTCCACAACAAGGTAGGCAGCTCAGATAGAGCTCTCTGATGGTGGTTTTCCCCCAGCTCCTTGAAATGTGGGAATGCCACACTGGTTTCTCTCACATACCTCCACAGGGGTCAGTATTTGAGGCACAGCAGAGGGTTTGAAGTTCCTGCCACAGGGAGTGGGAGCAGGAGGACATCTTCTCTCTGGTGACCAAGTGAGAGGATCTGAGGGAGCGGTAGGGAGCAGTGCTGGGGGAGTTAGCTTGGATAGGAGGCAAAGGCTCTTCCTCCAGAGGGTGGTTGGGCACTGGAACAGCCTCCCCAGGGCAGTGGTCACAGCACCAAGCCTGACAGACCTCGAGGAACATTTGGACAACGCTCTCAGGGTCGTGGTGGGACTCTTGGGGTGTCCTGTGCAGGGCCAGGAGTTGGACTCAATGACCCCCGTGGCTCCCTTCCAACTCAGGATACTCTGTGACTCTGCGACTTAGTTCCAGCAGGACTGAGCCTTCCGTGCTTTTCCAGGCTGATAACAGCGTTGTTGTTTGTGCTGCAGCCATGAGAGGATGCCTTACCACAGGAGGTGCCGGCGGGACAGCGATGCCTACAGGTTCGAAGAGCGGAGCCCGTCGTTCGGGGACGACTATTACTCGGCGCGCCCGCGGAACTGGCGGCGATCCAGGGGCAGAGATCAGCACCGTCCCAAGAGATACCAGCACCACTGCCGGAAACGCAGGAGCAGGTCTTGTAGCAGTACCTCCTCGGTGAGTAGCATCCAGAACGAGCTCAGGAATGGTCAGGGTTTAACTGTTCTTGCCTCCTTTCAGCTCCGAACACTCTGGGTGAGTAACTCGAATCCCGTTTCTGTGTTTTGTTTTCATTCCGTGGAACGTAAAGTCCCAGATCTGTGTCGTGTTAAGCGGGAAGCACTCATAGCTATTGATTTTTTTACTAGTCCAGCCCCTGTAGCCTTAATACGTGAGGGAGCTAAGCCGTGTTCTTTGCGGCCAGGGAAGGGATCAGGGAGAGCTTCCAATGGCACCCATGTGACGGGCTGACGAGGGCGAGCCTTGGCTGCAGGCCAGCCCTGCTCCCAGCGATCCCTGTTGCTCGGCTTTATCCGCGGCCAGGGCTTCTTTCGCTTCTGCCTTCGGGCCGCTGCTTCTCACAGGGGGGGGTTTGGTATGCAGCATTCCTCGGTTTGGCTTTGTGCCAGGATCCCCTTCTGGGTGGGATCCATCAGCCCAGGTCTCCGGAGTTGTTACTGACCCCTGTCAGTGCTCGGAGGCTCCTGCCTTCTGAGGATACATGTGTCCCCCTTCTGCTGTTTCCACTTGGATTTCAGCTTCTTTGCAAACTTAACCCTGAAACGTAGCATTCCTTCCAAGGATTACCAGGGAGTATTTGGAGCTGGGTAGGGAGGCTGGTCGCAGGAATACCCTGTAAGTGGTGTGAGACCAAGTGTTTCACTGCTCCCCTCCTGTAAGGAATGCTCCCACCTCTCACTTTAAATGGTATCACAACTAAATGACCAAGTCTGATCCCAGCAGTTGGATAATCTGCATGGCTGGGAACTCCTGAACTCATCCTTTTTATTTCTTTCCAGTTGACTTTTTAATTTTAGTTTTAGAGAGAGCCAGGGCTGTGATGGAAACACTGCAGTGTGCAGGGTGCTTACAGTGGTGATGCTTTGCAGGTTTGGGCTGGTGCAAGCACAGTCCTCTGAAGCCCCAGAGCTCTCCCAACTGTCCTCTCTACCTTCTCCATTTCAGCTGATTTTTTGGGGGGAGTTTTGATCTTAGCTCATTACTTTGGACCAGCTGGGGCAGCGAGGGGCACAGAAGAGAAGCCCACTAGAAGCTCAGGCATGGAAATGTCAAGGTTTCCATTAATTTCTTTGGCTGTAGAGATTGTAACTAT